TCCTAGTCCTCCGGCTAGGACCTAGGGGAGGCTATCTGACCCACCGCTGGCCCGGTGGGTCCTGACCACTGGGTATGCCGAGCCTTAGCCCTTAGAAGGGCTGAAAGGCTGGTCCAGGGTCCTAGCTAGGCTCCAGCCCAGTCTTCTGTCTTCGTGCAGGGAGAGAACTCCTCGAGGTCCGTTGGGTCACCCGTCTTATACCCCTTCGTGGCCAGGTAGAACCAATCATACATTCCCACGTGGAACCGTCTGATTGGTTCGCACCAAACCCTGGCCACGATCCGTTTCACCTCGACTGACCCCAACCGTTGTACCCAGGGGTAATGCTGCACCGCCCTGGTGGCAAGGCAGGTTACGCAACAGCGCGTAGTTAACACCTCTACAGATGTATGAATGGAGTCATCCATCGATGGGATGGATGAACTCCATTCGAAGTGGTAGGCCCTCGTGGTGGTGTGGTACCACGGTGGCTAGGAGATGTTAACTACCTCGCCTGGTATACAGGAGGTCGTGGGTTCGATCCCGACCCTGTGACGCCTGCTGCTGCATATTTGGAGTTTGCGGTGTCTCTCTCCCCGTGGTCACTTGGATTTTCCTGCGGGTCCTCCGGTTTTTCCCCTCCATGTTTAGAACGAATAACGCGCGTTTAGAGCCTGCGGCTACTGCTGTACGTTTCCCAACGATAAGCAGCCACTTGGTTGGGCTGTCATTTGTGTTCGCCAGGTCACTTCTGAGCTGTTATAGCTCAGTGGGCCTTACTTTGTAAAATAAAAAAATATTAAATTTAGTGGCGGTCACGTCCGGACCATGCACCGTAGGTTCCTCCCCCCCCCCCCACCACCCCCCCACCACCACCCCCACCACACCCCCCCACCGCCACCGCCACCCCTCGGGTAAACCCTGGCTGGCGATGGTTTAGGAAGTTGCCAGCCTCTGTGGGGTGGCACGGTTATTATTCACCCCAAACGGAAACAAGAGGCTGATCGTATCGTAACGGAGGGCCTTAAAACACGCTCGCCCCCCCCCCCCCCCGCCCCCCCCCCTCGTGTCCTCAACGTCACGCTAATTCAACAGGGAACCGAAGGACAAAGAATTCTCTCTCTCTCTCTGTTTGTCTCTGGCTCTCTCTCAAAATTCAAACGTGACCCTGAATAACTCACCTGGCTAGCCCCTGCAGCTACGCCGCGCTCTCGAGATGCTCCGGCTGGACTGCGCGTCATTTAAAGCATGTGACCGCCCGTAGGCTTTCACTCGACCAAACGTGTTGCGGGCCTCTCATTGGTTACCTTGCGGTCGGACCACGGTGCACTGCAGCGCGTTGCCAGGCTTTCCCCAAAACTCCTCCAGTCCTCGCGAGCCACCACCGCCCAACACCCACCACCACCACCGCCCAACACCCACCACTACTCACCACCACTCTCTCACCACCACCCACCACCACCGCCCAACACCCACCACCACCACCGCCCAACACCCACCACCACTCACCACCCACCACCACCACCACCACCACTCACCACCCACCACCGCCCAACACCCACCACCACCACCGCCCAACACCCACCACCACTCACCACCCACCACCACCACCGCCCAACACCCACCACCCACCACCACTCACCACCCACCACCACCACCCACCACCACCCATCACCCACCACTACTCACCACCCACCACCACCCATCACCCATCACCCACCACCACCCACCACCGCCCAACACCCACCACCCACCACTACTTACCACCCACCACCACCGCCCAACACCCACCACCCACCACTACTCACCACCACTCACTCACCACCACCCACCACCACTACTCGCCACCACCCACCACCACCCACCCAACACCACCACCCACCCACCACCACCACAAACCAACACCCACCAGCACCCACCACTTGCCACCACCACCCACCACCACAAACCAACACCCACCACCGCCCACCCACCCACCACCACCCACCCACCACCCACCCACCACCACCTGAGTGTCTAGCGCTCTTACTCCCAATAAATACTACAACGTAACGCCCAAGTCAACAACACTTCCACTCGGCCTACTACGATAGATAACGGCATCATCGGTCACGTCACAGTACTGCTGAAATTGTAAATGTTGTGTGTTTTCTCTCCAGCACACCGGTGTGTTGGAGTAGTAACTCCGTTTGACACGTCGGCTTTCAGCGACCAATATCCATAATGCAGGTTGTTTTGGGTTAGATCGCGTAAATAAATAAATAAATGGCGCCGTTAAACCCGCCACCACCCGACACAGCCAATCAGTAAGGTTTGTCAAGTCAACAGAACGTGGCCAATTTGTCACTAGTGCAGCACCAACCGGTGCGTTGAAGAGCAAAACCGCAACATTCACAATCTGAGCACGACGTTTTCGCCAGTAATTACAACTGGCTGTCGCCTGATGAGAGGCTGTGTTGTAATTAACTGGCGAAACGTCGTACTCCGATCGTAAATGTTGCGGCTTGGCTCTCCAACACACAACCGGTGTGCTGTACAGGTAACTAATTGGCATGTTATGTTTACGTGACAACCCTCACTAACTGGCTGTTTCGGGTGGTGGCGGGTTTAGCGACACATTTGTATTTACGCGAAAGCTTTCTACCGCCACATGTTAAACTGACCAATGGAATCGTTCCACGCTGCACGCGCTCGATGATTGTTGATGATTGTTGAACTCGCCCCACGTGGCACGCTAAGCGGTGAACGCTGTCCGCGATGGTGGAGCCGATTCGAAGTAAGATGGAGTTCTCCACGTGCAACAGGTGTGCGCACACCTGTTGCACGTGTGCGCGTGTCTACACGTGTTCCACATGCACGTGTGTACATGTGCGCGTGTTCTGTGTGTGTACACCTGTTCCACGTGTGTGCGTGGCTACACCCCCCCTCTCCCCCCCCCCGTTTCCTATGCGTATATTGTCAGTAGACCCCCCATACGCAAGCGTACGCATTTGGATTAACCCCCCCCTCCATGCGTACGTACTAAACGGATGGCCCCTGGACACGTGTTCCACATGCACGTGTGTACGCGTGTGCACACGTGTTCCGCGTGTACACGTGTTGCGCATGCGTGTAAACGTGCACACCTACAGACCTTCCACAGGCCGCAGACACAGATAGCCGAGTGACTTAGCGCGCTTACTCCCAATGAACACTACACCGTAACGGGCAAGTCAACAACACTTCCACTCGGCCTACCACGATAGATAACAGCATCATCAGTAACGCTGCTACGAAATGCAATCTAATCCACGTGCTCCCCTCTCCCCGCCTCCCTCCGAGTAACAAAGTGCGCATGCGAGTAAAAACAAAATCGACGGCTTCGTTTAAAACAAATGCCGCTGAAAAAATATAAAATATAAATGACGCTCGCCCAACCCCAACCACCCCCGCCCGCGATTGAACAAAACGTGGCTGTGGGGCGGGGGGGGGGGGGACACCGTTGACCTCGCCTCCGCGTGGTTGACAATGACCCCCCACCACCACCACCGTGCCAAGCCCCGGTTAGTACCGCGGCCGTGGGCAGCTACGCGCGGCCGTCCGCCAGACGGCGGCCGTCGGGCGTGTCCCCCCCGTGCGATGCCGTTGCGGGAAAGGGGAGGCCCCCCCAGGCTCCCCCCCCCCCAGCCCCCCCCCCCCCTCCCCCAGGCCCCTCCCCTCCCCCTCGCCGCGTCCTGCCGCTGCAGCCGCCGTCCCAGACTTTGCCGCCAAAACTCCGTGCGGGTTTTAGCGCCGTGAGCGGACGTTCAGGAAGCCACTGGAGCTCATGCGCCTTTAAGTCATCTCGATTGAAAACTCACTTCTTGAGGACGGCTTTTGTGCGTTTGTTTGTGGTCCATCCCCCCCCCCGCCCCCACCGCGCACTTTTAATTAGCACGGTTGGCTACGTACGGTGCGAAAGAAGTTCAACATGCGTTCGTACGTACCGTCGCCTTGCGCCACAAGAATGCCATATGCCGCTAAAAGGCCTGACATTTGTTTTTAAATGTCCTAAATTACGTGTTTGCAATGGAAGTTCAGCGTGCATACATACATATGTAGCGGAGTAAATACGCGCATGGGGGTAAATGGTGAGATCGCAGGACAGTACGGGTCATATTGGGACAGCCAGGTGCGATGGTTGGGACGATGAGGTAATGATTAGGCCAATTAAGCTAGGGAGCCAGAGACGGCTGTGATTGGCTGGTGTTGTTGTCAGGGCTGAAGTGTGATTGGCTGGTGTTGTTGTCAGGGCTGAAGTGGCGTCATAATGTCTGGGCAAGGAACAGGTGCACGAGGACGCGGGCTGATTTATTGGGGAATAATGAGAGCGGGGATAAATTTGGGGGAGACGCGAGGAGAGAGGGGAGTCGGATTCGGGGACTGGACGAAGCAAGACGTGGAGCAGAGCTGAAGTGAAGGCAGCCAGCAGTGGAGAGAGCACGGTGACAGCGGAGAGCGGAGACGAAGCAGCCAGCAGTGGAGAGAGCACAGTGATAGCGGAAGACAGAGACGAAGCAGTTAGCAGTGGAGAGAGCACAGTGACAGCGGAGCAGACGGAGAAGCGGAGATTGGAGAGGCAAAGGCGGCGAGTGAGTCGAGCGAGCCGTGACGACAAGGGAACTGTGGAGCGTCCAGGGCATGTGGAGAACTGTAAATAAAGTGGTGTTGGAAGAAAGGCAAAAGTTGTCCGAGTGAAATCAACCACTACACATACAACAGCGGCCCCCCCCCCCCCCCCCACCTCCTGGATAAGCTCGTGCTCATCCGCGGGCTGGCGACGCTCGCTCGCCTCTTTGCCGCGCAGGGACGGCTCCCACTTTGTGGGTGGGGAGTGATGGGAAAGGGGGGGCGGGGGGGGTACCCCCTTGGCTGGCTGGTGAAGAGACATTGGATTGGGGGGGGGGGGGGCGTTGTATTGTAAGCAAGCGTTGCTGCCTGCGCATGTCAATATCTTTCTCTCCCTCTCCCTCCCCCCGTCCTTGTTGCGTTGTGGCGAGCAGCGCTTCGACAACGAGGGATACCTGGCAATCCACCAGCACAAGCACGAGATGACGCTGAAGTTCACGGCTCCCCGCAGCGACTCGGTCATCGTGTCTGGTCAGTACACGCGCGGACACGCCGCACGAGACAAAGATCCCACACCCCCCCCCTCTCCCCCCCTCCCCCCCCCTCCCCCGTGTGTCTTTAACAGAATCTTTAGTTAGACTGGAGGAATCCGATGAGCAATGAAGCTCTTTTTTTTTACAGATGTCCAGCAGGGGCGGGTCGGCAAGTTCCGGAAACAAACGTTGCAAAAATAAAAAGCGGACTCACGCGAGTGGGGCGGGTGGCCAGGTTCGCGCCCGGCCGCCTTTGTCTCCCCAATGTTGATGTTCTATACACACTGCACCAGGTACTCGTTTGAGGCTGAGTCAACCTAGAGAGGAGTCAGGGCCGGTTCAGATAATAGTGTCACTGCTGTTGGCGGCCGTGAGCGGGAATCGGAACTCCCCACGCGCACACTAACAAGCCCACGCACACATACGGCTGTCGGACTAAAAGACGCACCCCCAAACCTTTTTTTGCTTTAAAAACGCAGTGATGAAAGTGGGTCGTGTATTCCAGAGACTACGATGTTTATCGCACGTAAAACATAACATCCACTGCAATTATCACAACCACCACACACCGTGCACGCGCGGGATGTACAAAACACACGCACGCAGCCTTCAAAATCAATTGCGTAGTCTTTATTACGAAAGGTGAGTCGGTGTCCGGCATGATGTGGTGGGGGACGGGGGGGTGTCTCACTCCGTACTGAGAGCTTTCCTTGGTGAGAGAACGTTCTGTTGTGCGCGCGTGTGTGTTCACGTGTGTGTACGTGTGTGTGCGCGTTGGACACCCATAGCGGTGAGCGCTACGAAACCCGGCGACCCGAGTTCGATTCCCGCTCACGGCCACCGACGCCGGTGGCGATTTCTCAGAACCGGTCCTGGGCCTCTCCCCCTAGGTCGACTCGGCCTCAAATGAGTACCTGGTGCGGTGCCCGGTAGACATCTCCACTGGGGGAGACAAAGACGGCCGGGCGTGGAAGCTGGCCACCCGAACGGTCTGCTAAGGCCCCACATTGGGTGGGGGTGGTCGTTGTCGTCGAGTCCCATTGCGTACCGGAAGGTCTGCCGTGTGAGCGAACAATCTGGTCGCGGGCCGGATTCACGGGTTTCCTCCCGACCCGCCAGGCGGCCGCCCCTGTCGTTAGTCTCTGGGTCAAGCGTCAAGGTGACGCTCCGCACCCGGAAGAAGGTTTCGCAAGGGGCCGAGGTGCGAAGTGACGCAGCAGTTCCCAGAAGTCTCGGAGTGGGGGGGGGGGGGGGGGCACGCGCTCGTGCGGGGCGGCGGTGAGAGTTGGTGACCGTCGGCTCCCGTGATGGATCGAGCGTGGTTGGGTTGGGTGGGTTGGTGGGTGGGTGACTGGGTGGGTGTGTGACTGGGTTGGTGGGTGGGTGGGTTGGTGGGTTGGTGGGTGAGTGGGTTGGTTGATGGGTTGGTTGGTGAGTTGGTTGGTGGGTGAGTGGGTGGGTTGGTGGGTGAGTGGGTGGGTTGGTGGGTGGGTCGGTTGGCGAGTTGGTTGGCGGGTTGGTGGGTGAGTTGGTTGGTGGGTGAGTTGGTGGGTGAGTTGGTTGGTGGGTGAGTGGGTGGGTTGGTTGGTGGGTGAGTTGGTGGGTGAGTTGGTTGGTGGGTGAGTGGGTGAGTTGGTTGGTTGGTGGGTGAGTTGGTGGGTGAGTTGGTGGGTGAGTTGGTTGGTGGGTGAGTGGGTGAGTTGGTTGGTTGGTGGGTGAGTTGGTGGGTGAGTTGGTTGGTGGGTGAGTTGGTGGGTGAGTTGGTTGGTGGCTCTTCCTTTCGAAGTGCCGATCAGAGCAGAATGACCGCTCGCGGACCCGCCGCGGGAATCCGGTGGTGGCGGCGGTGGCGGCGGTGAGTGAAGTGGTGACCGCAAGCGGGAAGTGGTCAGGGAGGGGGTAGGGAGCTGCCAAGGTGCTTGTCTCGTCGCCAACAGCGGGGAGCGCCTCCGGTCGGTGCGGTTGGCTACGTACGGCGCGGAAGAAGTTCAACGTACGCCGGGCGTGGGGTGCCCCTTTACACCGCCCCATCGTGGCACCGTGCCGGGCCTTAATAGGTGCTCGCCGACCACGCTTGCCCGGCAGCAGTCTTTCGGGGCGGTGGGTACGGGGGGGGGGGGGGGGGGGGTGTCGTGGTCACGGTACGGCGCTACAAACCCGACGGCCCGAGTTGGATTCCCGCTCCTGGCCAACGTCACCGTTGCCGCTCCTGGGGCTCTCTCCTGTGTCTACTCGGGTTTCAAACGGGTACCTGGTGTGGCGTGCAAACGTCGCCGCCGCTGGGGAGAAAGAGAGGGCCGGTCGTGGTTGCTGGCCACCCACACCCCCCGCCCCGCGCCCACGTGTGCCTCGCCGGCCTTCGTAGGTTATACTCGCTAACAGCACTTGCCCTGCCCGGCTGTGAAGGCTATACGGGAGATTTTTGTAAGTATGGGGGGGGAGGGAGGGGGGGGCACGGTAGGGGGGGTGGGTGGGCTCTGCTGGAGGTGACGAGGTTTATAAAAGAGAAATAATTGGGCAAGAATAAATAAATAAATGGGCCCTCTGCCGTGAAATCCGGAACGCAAACACAAAACTAGACAAAGATCCCCTGTATAGCCTTTGCAGACTTTCGGGGGTAAGTGCTGTTAGCGAGCAACTATGGAGGTCGACGCAGCACACGAGGGGGTGGGTGGCCAGCACCACGCCCGGCCGCCTTTGTCTCTCCAGTGGCGGTGTTTACTGCACACCGCATCGTCACCGACGTTGGTGACCGTGAGCGGGAATCGAAAGCTCGGGTTCGCCGGGTTTGTAGCGCAGCGCGCTAACCGCCCGCTACGCTGCCACTCCCCACAAAAGCACGCACACGCACGCACACGCACGCACGCACACATGTACACACACGCACGCAGACGCACGCAGACGCACGCACACACTCTCACGCACACACACGCACGAACACACTCTCACGCACACACACGCACGAACACGCACGCACGCACACACGTACACAAACGCACGCAGACGCACGCACACATTCTCACGCACTCTCACGCACACACACGCACGGACACACTCACGCGTACACACTCGCACGCACACACACTCGCACGCACACACTCGCGCGCACACACACTCGCGCGCACACACACTCGCGCGCACACACACTCGCACGCACACACACTCGCGCGCACACACACTCGCGCGCACACACACTCGCACGCACACACACTCGCGCGCACACACACACTCTCACGCACACACACGCACGTACACACTCGCGCGCACACACACTCGCACGCACACACACTCGCACGCACACACACTCGCACGCACACACACTCGCGCACGCAGACGCACGCGCGAGTCCGTTAGGGTTTTGCGAGCGCCGGCCCGGAATGCGAGCTGGCCTGCTCTTCAGCCTCGTGAGATTAAAAGTTCGCTGCTCAGCCTCGCAAGGGGGGGCGCGTCGCAACCATTTGTCATTCTCACCGTCTTGCTCATCGTCTGTCTCACCGTCCGTCTTGCTCACCGTCCGTCTTGCTCACCATTCGTCTCAGCGTCTGTCTTGCTCACCATTTGTCTCACCATCCGTCTTGCTCACCGTCCGTCTTGCTCACCATTCGTCTCACTGTCTCACCATCCGTCTTGCTCACCATTCGTCTCGGCGTCTGTCTCAGCCGTCCGTCTTGCTCACCGTCTGTCTCACCGTCCGTCTGTCTCAACTTTGCGTCTGTCTCAACGTCCGTCTTGCTCACCATTCGTCTCGACGTCTGTCTTGTTCACCATTTGTCTCACCGTCTGTCTTGCTCACCATTTGTCTCACCGTCTGTCTTGCTCACCATTTGTCTCACCGTCCCTCTCGCTCGGACCCCGTCCCCCTGCGCGAGCGTCCCAATGCTCAAGTAGGACGCGAAAATACTTTGCGATAGTCAACTTAAAAAAAAAAAACTTTTTTTTTTAATCAGGTAAGACCCCACTTGCTATCACAAATGATAGCTCAATGAAGTGGCTTATCATGTTGACACGCAAACTCCAAATACACAGCAGGCTTCAGGGTCGGGATCGAACCCGCGACCTCCTGTATACCTGGCAGGGTTGTTAACATCTCCCAGCCACCACGGCGCCCTTTACTTTCCCCGTACGCTGGGTGGCCAGGGGGGGTTCATTGCCGAGTCCAACGGCGCAACACGTCAACCAAGTTGGGCCAGCGGTAATCTCGCCGCCTTTAAAGAGTTGTACAAGACTAAGAGTCGTACGAGACTAAGAGTTGTACAAGACTAAGAGTTGTACAAGACTAAGAGTTGTACGAGACTAAGAGTCGTACGAGACTAAGAGTCGTACGAGACTAAGAGTCGTACGAGACTAAGAATTGTACAAGACTAAGCGTCGTACGAGACTAAGTTGTACGAGACTAAGAGTCGTACGAGACTAAGAATTGTACGAGACTAAGAGTCGTACGAGACTAAGAGTCGTACGAGACTAAGAGTTGTACAAGACTAAGAGTTGTACAAGACTAAGAGTTGTACGAGACTAAGAGTCGTACGAGACTAAGAGTCGTACGAGACTAAGAGTCGTACGAGACTAAGAATTGTACAAGACTAAGCGTCGTACGAGACTAAGTTGTACGAGACTAAGAGTCGTACGAGACTAAGAATTGTACGAGACTAAGAGTCGTACGAGACTAAGAGTTGTACGAGACGTAAGAGTCGTACGAAACTAAGAGTCGTACGAGACTAAGAGTCGTACAAGACTAAGAGTCGTACAAGACTAAGAGTCGGTGGTGCGGAGGACGGGGTCGCGAAGGGACCCCCCTTCTCCCCCCGTGCACGCCCGACGATTGAGCCTCGCGTGCGACGGACCGAGATGATCGCGGCGGTGACCGTGACCCACGCCCCCGGGTGACCCCCGCGGTCGGAGTCGCTGACGCTCTCGCCCGTCCAGGCGCTCGCCTGGTTCAAGCTCTCACCTGTCCAGGTTCTCACCTGGGTCATGGTCTTACCTGTCAGGGTTCTCACC